CTTTCTGACATCACACAACCTACCTAGGTTGGAACAAGAAGAAATTGAGACCCTAAATAGACCAATAACAATCAAGGAAATTGACTACGTAATAAGAAAACTTTCTACAAAAAAAAGCCCTGGTCCAGATGGCTTTCCAGCAGAATTCTATAAGACATTTAAGGAGGAGCTGATACCAATCCTACTGAAGGTATTACAGGCGAATGAAAAAGATAGAACTCTCCCCAAATCATTTTATGAAGCCAACATCACATTGATACCCAAGCCAGTTAAAGATCCAACAAGATAAGAGAACTATAGGCCAATAACTTTGGTGAACATAGATGATAAAATTCTCAACAAGATCCTAGCAAACTGGATTCAGCAATACATCTGAAAAATTATCCATCATGACCAAGTAGGCTTCATTCCTGGGATGCAGGGCTGGTTCAACATTCATAAAACCATAAATGTAATTAAATACATCAACAGATGTCAAAACAAAAACCACATGATCATATCATTAGATGCAGAAAAAGCTTTTGATAAAATCCAGCACCACTTCTTGATAAAAAGCCTTGAACATCTAGGCATACGGGGAACATACCTCAAAATAGTAAAAGCCATCTACTAGAAACTCACAGCCAGCATACTCCTAAATGGACAAAAATTGGAACCATTTCCCTTGAAAACGGGAACAAGACAAGGATACCCACTCTCACCCCTCCTGTTCAACATAGTATTGGAAGTCCTGGCTCGAGCAATCAGAGAAGAGGAGGCAATCAGGGGTATCCAAATAGGAAAAGAGGAAGTCAAGTTATCTCTCTTTGCAGATGATATGATTGTGTACCTTGAAAACCCAGGAGAAACTGTCAAAAACCTCCTTACACTGATAAAGGCCTTTGGCAAAGTCTTAGTATACAAAATAAATGTGCAAAAGACAATTGCATTTCTCTACACCAATGATAAGCAACAGAAACCCAAATAAAAAACACAATTCCATTCGCCATAGCCACAAAAAAGTAAAATACTTTGGCATCATCCTAACCAGAGACGCGAAAGACCTTTGCAATGAAAACTACAAAACACTGCTCAAAGAAATCAAAGATGACACAAACAAGTGGAAAAATATCCCATGCTCATGGATTGGAAGAATCAACATTGTGAAGATGTCCATCTTACCTAAGGCAATCTACAAATTCA